CTCTGATATGATTAGAATACATTGGTGACCAGACAGAGGAGCAGTACTCCATCAGGGGCCTCACCATTGAGCAATAAAGGTATCTGATAGAATCTATGCTTTTAAAATCTCTCGAACACCTCTTAATGAAGCCTACAAGTTTTAACGACCTTGTTGTGATGTCTGAAATATGGGTGATAAAATTGAGACTGCTGTCAAAAATGACACCAAGATCTCGTTGTTGTGAGACAGTTTCAAGCGGAATGTTGTTTATATGGTACGCGAATTGTGGAGGGCTACGACCCTTGGAGAAAACAATGGCTTTGCATTTGGAAGCATTGAGCTCCATGCCGCTCAAAGCGCACCACTCAGAGAGTCTGTCGAGGTCAGATTGTAGTCTGGCACAGTCTTCAATAGAAGAGACCCGGGTGAACACCTTTAAATCATCCGCAAAGCACAGGAACTCACTGTTAATAAAACAAGACTTGATATCGTTAATAAAAACGTTGAACAGCAGAGGTCCCAAGTGAGAACCCTGTGGAACGCCCGATGGGATGTCAATTTCGTGTGAGAAGAAGTTGTTAACTTTGATTATTTGAGTTCTCTCCCCAAGATAGTCGCTAATCCACTTCAACAAAGTACCGGAGATTCCAGCACTTTCAAGCTTAGCAAGCAGAACGGCATGGTTGACACGGTCAAAGGCCTTTGCAAAATCGGTATATATGGAGTGAACTGATTCGCCATCCTCAAGAATTCTTGAAACTTTGTCCTGGTAGGACAGGAGATTGGTTTCAGTTGAGCATTTTGGACGGAAACCGGTCTGCTGCTCAATTAGACAGGGATTGATTTTTGGAGTTAAAAACTTTGTCACTATGCTCTCAAATACCTTTGGGAAGGTGTTTTGGATGATAATGGGTCTGTATTTTGAAATATCCATTTTATCGCCAGATTTATGAATGGGTATGGTGAAGCTCTGCTTCCAGAGTTTAGGAAATTCACCCAAACTGAGTGACTTATTGAAAAGAATGAAAAGTGGACGGGATAATACAAAGCTACAATTCTTTATCATAAGAGGTGGGACACCGTCTGGACCTGGACCCTTAAAAGACTGCAGGCTACATAGTTCTTCATAAATAACTGATATTGAGATGTTAAATTCATGAATATGTGCATCGCTTCGAGAGATGTCCTGACTAGCAACACAGATTTTGTTGGAATAAACAGAATGGAAGTATTCAGCAAAGAGATTAGCTATCTCTGAACCATTTTTGGCAATGTTGCTATTATAAAACATGTGAGACGGCAAACCATTCGCTTTTCGCTTGGCATTGATAAAACTCCAGAAGTGTTTGAGGTTGTGATCATTCAGCAGTGACATTTCAGAGCGCTGCACATAATTCAGATAGGAGTCCTTTGAAAGAGTCTTACACCGAGTGCGAAGATTCGAGAAGGTGTCATAGTCACTAGGAGAGTCAGTCCGCTTCCAGGTTCTGTGTGCTTCTTTCTTCTTGATTATGAGTTCCTTTAGGTCGAATGTAAATGTGTGTAATGTAAATTTTCTTGATTGTATTGTGGAAGTCACAGGAATTTGCTTAGTAGTCATTGGAAATTTGGCAGTCAGTGGCGCAATTCCGCGTAGCCGCTAGAACTCACTTGGCAGTCACTGGAACTCGCGGCAGTCGCTGCAAGTCGCGTGGCATTCATTGGTATTCACGGCAATTCTGAGGAGTTTGGTCGCGGCATTCGTACTCACCTGCCACACGCTGTGCACACGCCTTTGATTGTGAATTTGATTTGTGGAATATTTATATAGAATCCTGCTCGTTAGAAACATTTGTTTAGTTGTTTGACATCATATTTGAAACGGTAAGTGACATAGTAAGCAACATTGAAAAACTTGTAAAAGCCCGAGCACAGAGATATTCAACGCAGATGAGCGTTAGGAAAATATTTTCTTGACATCTTCTCATGATAATAATGAAAACAAAGAAATTGAATCAAAATCCCTCGGACCATCCACAATAACGCATATTAAAAATTTAATTCATACTTATACTACTAGTTTTTATCCAATTTGGGAGATCTTACAGAAGACTAAAAATTAAACGAAAACGATATCTGGCTAATATAGACAAAATGGCAGTGGTATTAAAAGAGGGAAATCCATGGATACAATGTCCAGAGTGTGATTTTGAATCAATCATGCTGATGATGATGATGATGATGATGATGATAATGATCAATGCCATCAATTGACAAAGTCAAAGAAATCTTAGAAAAAGCAAAAAGTGATGCCATAGATGATGCTAAAAAGCTGTCAATTGATATTGACCTTGAAATGATGACCGCTGCAGTAGCAACTGTATCACTTCCTGAACATGGTCAATTCACAGAACCTGATGATATGGAAATTAGTGACTTTGTAAGTGTAGCAGAAAATCCCAATATTGAAGACATGAAAGATCTAGAAGAAGTTTCAGCATTTTTGAAAGGCATAGACAGTCTAAACATCAGAGATTTTAGTGGGAAAATCAAGGATGACTGTAATGTCAGTGATAAATCACTTTTACGAATAAAAATTAACAATACAAATAAACTGTTTAGAAAAAGTACTCTGTGTTGGTATTTTTTCGAAAAGCAGAGTGGCAGATTATTGAGTGACAGAGTAATTCGTTGCAGGGGATTAACTAGCGCTGAAAAGACAAATGAAAATACCTCGGAAAATACAGTCTCACACATTTCAAAGTTTTCCTGGAAAACTAGTGGAAGGAAAAATTTGAAACTTTATGTATGTGAAGAGGAAGGTTAGAGACTCATTTTCCCGAAATTTCAATATTTTCCGGTGGAAAATAGCAACATGAAGAATCTTGGAAATCAACCTACAAAAACTGAACTAATTGAAAACACAGTCTCACACATTTCAAAATTTTCCCGGAATACTAGTGAAGGGAGAAATTGGAAACTTTTTGCATGTAAAGAGGAAAGTTAGAGACTAATTTTCCCAAAATTTCAAATTTTTCCAGTGGAAAATAACAATATAAAGAATCTTGGAAATCAACCTACAATAACTGAATTATTTAAAAATACTGTCTCACACTCGACAGGTTTCACACAATTCAAAGTTTTCCTGGAAAACAGGACAAGGAAAAATTTTGAAACTTCTTGCATGTAAAGAGGAAGGGGAGAAACTCATTTTCCCAAAATTTCAAATTTTTCCAGTGGAAAATAACAACATGAAAAATCTTGGAAATCAACTTACAAAAACTGTAATAATTGTTAATACAATCTCACACAATTCAAGGCTTTTCTGGAAAACTAATCAAGGGAAAATTTTGAAACTTTTTGCATGTGAAGAGGAACGTCAGAGGCTCATTTTCCCAAAATTTAAAATTTTTCCAGTGGAAAATAACAACATGAAGAATCTTGGAAATCAACCTCCAATAACTGAATTAATTGAAAATACAGTCTCACACATTTCAAAGTTTTCCTGGAAAACTAGTGAAGGCAAAAATTTGAAACTTTTTGCATGTGAAGAGTAGAAAGGTTAAAAGCTCATATTTCCAAAATTTCAAATTTTTCCAGTGAAAAATAACAACATGAAAAAAATCTTGAAAATCAACTCACAAAAATTGAATTAATTGACAATACAGTCTCACACATTTCAAAGTTTTCCTGGAAAACTAGTGAAGGCAGAAATTTGAAACTTTTTGCATGTGAAGAGTAGAAAGGTTAAAGGCTCATTTTCCCAAAATTTCGAATTTTTCCAGTAGAAAATAACATCAGGAATATTGGAAAACAACCTACAAAAACTGAATTAGTTGAAAATACAGACTCACACATTTCAAAGTTTTCCTGGAAAACTAGTGAAGGGAAAATTTTGAAACTTTTTGCCTATAAAGAAGAAGGTGAGAAGCTCATTTTCCCAAAATTTCAAATTTTCCAGTAGAAAATAACAACATGAAAAATCTTGGAAATCAACTTACAAAAACTGAATTAATTGTGAATACAGTCTCACACATTTCAAATTTTCCTGGAAAACTAGTGAAGGGAGAAATTTGAAACTTTTTGCATGGAAATCAGCCTACAAAAACTGTATTCATTATTCCTTTCAATTTGTCAAATCTGGATCTGTAAATCATGAAGTGAAATTTTGAGAGAATTTCTTTAATAAAAATGAATATCCAACGTCCAACACAAAACTAGTTTTTTTTTTAAATTTCCATTTATTACTATTTCTTATAATAAAAATGTGAACCTCAGTGACGTCATGACCTTACAATTTCCTTTAAATTCTTCATAAATTCCTCACAAATTCTTCCAAATTTCCCATAAATTTCTCCAACTTCCCTATAAATTCCCAAACTTCTCATAAATTTCGATGAGTTTTCCCAAATTCCTCTAAATTCCCCACATTTTTTGCAAATAATTCCTAGGTGGTTTGCCCCTTCCGAACAGTTTTGCAGCTGTGAAGCTTGAAAATCTTTGAACTTTGCTTTTTGTCAAAGTGAGTAAGCAGAAGGAAATTTTAATTGTTTTTCTAAAATTTCAATCTTCTTTTCATCTACTTGGAAAACTTCAATCTAATCCTTGAAGCATTTTCCTAAAAAAAAAAAAACGTCCCTCAATGTAGCTTTTTACAAATTCGATCTTTTCAAATATGATATCAACACAAAATCCTCTACTAATATCTTATTGATAGTTTCAAAACAGCTTCAATAGTTTTGCAGCTGTGAAGCTTGAAAGTCTTTGAACTTTGCTTTTTATAAAGGTGAGTAAGCAGGACATTTCAATTTTTTTTCTTAAATTTCAATATTTTTTCTATTTACTTACGAAATTTGTGTCCCTCATCAACTTTATCCAATAAATTAATTGCAATTTATCCAATAATAGTTTACAGTTTTATGATTATAAAACTTAATATGTATTTAAAACTATCTAAATTATACATGTCAAAAAAACACCTGTATGGGCTCAATATTATATAATAATACTAATAATAATGCCTAAACATTTTTTTCTAGCTCTCAGTTTGTCGTAATCAACTCCTTCGCATGTACGGAGTTTGCCGACTGCACAGTCTTCATACTCTAAATTTAAGTGACAACGGCATACTGATGATCGAAGGCTTAAAAGAGCTGACAAACTTAAAATGGCTCTGTCTTTCTAGAAACAGCATTAAAGTAAGAATAATTGTCTTGTGTTTGATACAATTTTCATATAAGTATTTAATTTTTTCTAGACCATTGAGCATCTAAATACAAATACCAATTTAGAGCATTTAGACTTGTCCGAGAATAATATAACTCATATAAGCGATTTGTCGTTTCTTAAAAAACTAAAGGTAATTTTTGTTGCTTTATTTATATGGGAATTATTTCACGATTTTTCAGGTGCTTTTTTTACACAAAAACAAAATTAACCATTTGGGTCAGTGCGATCAATTTTTGCCTGTCAGCTTGAACACACTAACATTAGCTAACAACAATATCGGGGACTTGAACGAACTGTCCAGGCTTTCACATCTTGTTAATTTAACCAAAATTTCCATAGCTAACAATCCTTGTGTTAATATCACTGGCAACAAAATGTATCCTTTTATGTATATGTTAGTTTATAAGAGCGTTATTATTCAAGTATTATTTTCTTTAACAAAAATCTTAGTGGTTTTGATTATCGCCCATTTGTAATAAATTGGTGTCTAAACGTAAATGTTATTGACGATTATGTGGTAGATGCAATAGAAAGGTAACTTTTAACTCAATTAAATCAAATTATATAGAGCATTGATTTGTCTTAGTTTACGTGCAGAATGGCTTTATTCTCAAGGCAGAGGCAGGCACTTTAGAATAGGCGATCAAAGAGAACTTGTCAACTATTTGGCAACGGTTTGTCCTTTAACAGGCGAAACTTTAGAAACCGAGGATGACAGAAAATTGAGATTGATTTTAAGTAAAGCGCAACATCATCAGCAACAGTTGAGAGAACAATCGTCTAACTGTAACTATTGGTTTTTACAATATTGATGTTTAAATTGAAGGGTCATATTTTTTAGCTTCTCCTCATCCTTCTCCAGCGACCAGAAAGAGAATTCAACAGAGCAAAAATTCGCCTAGAATAAATTGTATGTATCTTATAATACAGGATGTTACAAATGTAAATAATTATGGGGTTCTAGGTTACAGATCACCTTTGGGTAATTATAAGAGATACAGGGAGCAATTGAGCCACAAAATTGAACATTTTCCATTAACTAAAAATTCCCAAACTGTTGCTTTAACCCTTTTTTGTATCTCCTATAATTACTGAATCCTCTCACTTATTCACAAACTTGTGACACCCTGTATATTAACTATGTTTTTGCATGTCTGATTAATTATTATTGGACTCTTATAGCATTACGTATGGGTAGTGGCCTAAAAACTCCAGACAGAATGGCAATGAGCTGTTACAACACTCTAGGAGCTGGTGGCGATTCTGATAATTCGATAATGACTCAGAGCCTTGACGCTTCCTTACTCGGACAAACGATTACCAATCAGAAAACCATGACAGAATCATTCCATGCCAATTTTACTGGTAATTTTCCAGCTCTGATGTGATCTGAAAACATACATTTTAATTTTTTTAGATGCTGAGCCTATAAACAGCCCATTGCAAGCCTTCACAAAAATGGTACCGGTACCAGAAAGTTTAATGAGTCCCGATTACAGGCCCTCGCCCTTGATTGGCAAAATAACGAAAATAAACAATAGTACCCCAGTAAAAACCAAAAAATCTGACATTCTCACAAGATCGCCGAAAAGCAATCGGTCATCTTCGCCTTTTAACAAATCCCATATTAATGATCTGAGGAAGGAAAATGAAACTCCAAGTCCAATGAGGCAAAGAAAAGTTATGGATTCGTATAATGGTAACAAAAAGACATCGATTTTACGTAATAAATCGCCTAGTAGCGAAGAGGAATCTGAATTGTGTGATTCCAAACTTTGTATAATACAAAATAAAGTTGAGGAGAGACGGTAAATTTTAATTATTTTTGTAGATTATTAAGAATTTAGATTTGGTCCTTTTTAGAATGCAAAAAACTACAACAAACGACGAAAAAGTCCGACAGGCGGCAATTTGTATCCAAAAAATGTGGCGCGGCTACTATACAAGAAACAAAGACAAAGATTTACAAGAAATGTTCAAAGTATTACAAAATCATCGGGCCAATCAGTACATACAGTAAATTCATTTCTATATTATTGAGTTTTTTAGAATTATTATACAAAATTGTTCTTCTAGGAAATTGTCTACTGATATGGAAACTACCAAAGCAGCTCTAGAAAGCGAAAGAAAGATTCAAATGCTTCAAACTGAAGCCATTAGTGCTCTGTGGAAAAAGATTTCATCTTTACAAGACAATGAAGTAAATGCATCTACAAGCAACATCAATATGACAAATTTGAATCAGAATAATTCGGATGTTGTTAAGAATTTGGCTCAGACTTGTTCCGTAATGCAAGACCAAGTAAAAACTTACAAGTAGTTTTTGTTGTTTGTAAAATAATATTTTCGGTTTAGATTCAGCAATTACAAGGCTCCATGCAAGACATCTTGAAAATTATGACCATTTTTAGTCAAAATGTTCCTGGGAGTGTGAATAAGGAGAATGGAATTGGGACTCAGACTGAAATTGTTGCCGTCCATACGCCACAGGTAGGAATTTTCTCACTTAATGATGTGATGACTATTATTGAGTCTTGATTTTTTGGATAATATAGAGCTGGTAATTACCAGATTTTGTATTATTCTAATGGTGATTAAGAGCCAGTAATGGTTCAAAGTTTGTCTATTACCGGCTCTTGATTTATTGATAATTTCGATCAAAACTTTCAAAGTTTGGACTATTACTGACTATTGAAAACTTATATGAGAGTTTCCTGATAATCAAATTTTATTATTGGTTCTTGAGTGTTTCTAGTAGGGGACCCCGCACACTTCTTATGTGATTTCTGACCGCAGTCAAATTTAACGAAATTTTAGTATGTTATAGATCTCACCGTTCTGATCAATGACAATGACTACCATGGGCACAACTCAATCCTATGACTAGTTTTTGAGATACAGGTAGTTTAATGTTCAAGTAATGTACACATTTTATATGCATTTACATCTACCTGTCACCTGAGCATGAGGATACCTGTCCATCCTAAGGTGGGTTCGGCTTGCTCACTCCGTGCACTCCAGCCGTTCGGGTATTGCTTTTTACCGTACTAGGGGTGACTTCATTAGCTCTGTTCACTCCACTCCAACTCCGCGCTGAATAGCCGAACCCAGCTCTAGTATATCGTTAGGGGACAGGTAGATGTGAATATAAAATGTGTACAGGGTGTTTTTTCATATATTGACACCCCACCTACAGCCTTTACCTTTACATGTAGAAGAAAGGTGTAAATATAAAAGTTGTTCAGTTTTGGCTGAATTTTCAGAAACCATGGTCAGAAACAAAATTTGAACGTCAGAAATGTGAAATTTTGCATGCTTTTAGCTTTTTTCAAATGGGATGCCCTATATTTCATTCTATATTCTTGAAGAGCACAATGCCCCGATTCCAAAAATATATAGTTTGTCTATATTTGATTGAACAGTCTCTCATATATTCGGCTCCAAAAATTGTAAAAATACTATCCAACTACTGATTTTGTGAAGCATTCTACCTGTACAGGTGAAAGCTGCAGGTAAAATTTGAGGTACCTAGTTTCTCTGATAGTATTTTTTAAGTTTTTAGAACCAAATATGTTGGAGATGGCTCAACCAAATATAGACAAACTATTTAGTTTTGGAATCGGGAAATTATGCTCTTCAAGAATATAGAACCAAATATTGGGCATCCCATTTGAAAAAAGCTGAAAGCATGCAACATTTCACATTTTTGACATTCAATTTTTATTTCTGAGCATGGATTCAAAAAATTAAGCCAATACTGTACAACTTTTGTATTTACACCTTTCGTCTACTTGTAAAGATGCAGGCTGTAGGTGGGGTGTCAATACATAAAAAAACACCCTGTACTTGAACAATAACTTCCTTTTAACAGGAATTAGTAATGCTCTTTACCAAACTAGTAACATAATGCGACAAATTATTCAAGTACAAATGAGTGAATTGTTACGGAACTTATGGGTGGACATCTGCGGGACGAGCGCAGCGAGTTCCGCAGCCATCTATTCATCAATTTATTGTTTAATTACGATACTAACCTGACTCACTCAAATGTGAGTTATCCTCATTAATTTGAAAAGTACACGTTTCACGTGAGTGTCTTATTTGAACAGTTCAACAGTATGTTGGTGAGTAGATGGCTGCGGAACTCGCTGCGCTCCTCCCGCAGAGGTCCACCCATAAGGTCCGCAATAATCCACTTATTTGTGCAGGGTGTTTTTTTATATATTGACACCCCACCTACAGCCTTTACCTTTACAGGTAGAAAAAAGATGTAAATACAAAAGTTGTACAGTTGTGGTTGAATTTCTAGAAACCATAGTTAGGAACAAAATTTGAATCTCAGACATGTGAAATTTTGCATGCTTCCGGCTTTTTCCAAATGGGATGTCATATATTTCATTCTATAATAATCATCAGTCATAATCTGTAATAATCTAAGTTTATTATTGGTTCTTGAGTGTTTCTAGTAGAAATTTCTAGCCAATCAAGAGCCAGTAATAGTTCAAATTTTGATTTTTACAGACTGTCGCAAAAGACACTTTATTTATGACTGAGATAGGGACCTGGTTCCCGTCATGTGGCCTTCCTTCCTCCCCTTATTGCCACCCCGATTCTCGCTACTGATAACTGTTTCTCTGAGCCATCTGCGGCTTATTACTGATACTCTGAAACTTGCGTGAATTTTCTGCCTGGGATTCACGTTGCCTGATACTGATACGTAAAGAAGGCTGATAATCTGACAATCTAGTGACGTGAACCCTCTACCTGGGATTCATGTGCCTGATATTGATATCTGAACCCTCTACCTGGGATTCACATTGCCTGATATTGATACCTGAACATGCCTGAACTTTCTATCTGGGATTCACCTTATCTGATATGAACCTTCTACTTGGGATTCACCTTTGGATAATTTTCTCAAAGCAAGCAAGAGCCAATGAAAATCACAGTTTGGACTATTCTAGCTAGAGAAGTGAGAACCTATAGGAGAGTCTGTAATAATCAAAGTTTATTATTGGTTCTTGAGTGTTTCTAGTAGAAATTTCTAGCCAATCAAGAGCCGGTAATAGTTCAAATTTTGAATATTGCAGGCTGTCGCGAAAGACACTATTTATGACTGAGATGGGGCCCTGTTTCCCCTGATGTGGCCTCCTTCCTTCCCTTATAGCCACCCCGATCCTCTGTACTGATAACTGTTTCTCTGAGACACTGATCTGCGGCTATTACTGATACTCTGAAACTGGCGTGAATCCTCTGCCTGGGATTCACGTTGCCTGATACTGATACGTAAATCCTTTGCCTCGGATTGATACTGAGACAAATTACTTGAGAAGGCTAATAATCTGACAATCTATCACTGACAGTGACGTGAACCCTCTACCTGGGATTCATGTGCCTGAACCTGAACCTAAGCCTGAACCTAAACCTGAACCTAAACCTGAACCTGAACCCTCGCCAATCAAAAGCCGGTAATAGTTCAAATTTTGATTATTACAGGCTCTTGATCTTTGGATACTTTTTCTCAAAGCAATCAAAAGCCAATGAAAATCAAAGTTTGGACTATTCTGGCTATTGAGAACTTATATGATAGTCTGTTATAGTCAAAGTTTATCATTGGTTCTTGAATGTTTCTAGTAGAAAGGACCCTGTACTAATCTTATGGAAATTGGATCCCGGCTAAATTTCCTGCAATTTTGGTAGTTTTTGAGCTTCTGATCAAAAGCTATCATTGCGCAGAAGTGCTATCATCGCTAGTTTTCAAGATATTGGGCCTTTTTTTTTGTTTTTTGGGTCGCGCTCTGAAGCTGAAAACGTCAAAAGGTTTTGACGTGTTCTGAAACTCGAATCTGTTTGATCTGTTTTTGAAGTGAAAACTCTTCTTCAGGCGTGTTTCAATGAGCGGGTGCTTTCGCCAATATGTTATCATTTATGTTGCAGTTGTTTGCATTTTAGATTTTGTTGAAGTTTGCATTACGTATTGTTAGGTCTGTTCGCGCAGGAATCAGAAACCAATCGGAGTGAATTTCATTGATTGAAATTAGTTTTGCGACTGTTTTTAACCAATCAAATTCGCTCTGAGTGGTTTGTGATTTCTGTGCATAAAGCGAACAGACCTATTGACAATACACCAATACACGTCAGAACCGTTTCCGAGCGAGACACAAAAGACACAAAAAAACCAAAAAAAAAGTCCCAATAACTTGAAAACTAGCGATGGTAGCACATTTGCGCAATGATAGGTTTTGATCAGAAGTTCAAAAACTATCAGATGCCAGAGTGGCAGAAAATTTAGCCGGGACCCAGTTTCCATAAGATTAGTACGGGGTCTTTTCTAGCTTATCAAAAGCCGGTAATAGTTCAAATTTTCATTATTACCGGCTCTTGTTCTTTGGATAATTTTTTTCAAACCAATCAAGAGCCTAGAGAATATATAAGAGTTCCTAGTAGAATTTTCTAAAAAATTCTTTCCAAAATCTCTGTCTTTCTATAGGGTGAAGCAGCAAAAGTATTCCCCTTCCAAAAACACCAAAACCTACACCAATCTCGTCCATCTTCGTTGCCTTTGCCAGTAAGTCAAAGAAAAAAGGAAAATACTCAAACTGGACCAATGGATAACGAATTAAGACAGTACGCTGGTATATTGGTAGACGGCGTGATCAAGACTGTTTCTGAGACTGCAGAAATACAAGAAGTGAGAATCCAAATTGTTAATTTTTTTCCTGAATTTTATTTAATTATTTTTTAGGAAATTGAACCTGAAACTACTAATCAAAATAAAATTTCTGAGGAAACTAATACTTCGTCATAACGTTTCGGTTCTATTAAAATATGTGTGCTTTAATTTAAGTTATACTGTGATTGTATTTATTTGTTTTTTACTTCAATTAACACTGAATTGTTATTAAGAGTTAGTTTCTACATGATGACTATTTGAGGAAACTGGCCTTAAATCACGCTTTGTTTGACCACCAGAATATTATAAGCAGCTTTAATTATCTATTATTGTATAAGGTACCTCGAAACCAAAGTAAATGTGTTAAAGTTTAGTGCATTAATAAATAAAATTGTCCAAAAAAAATCTAATTGTAAATAAATTTAATTATTATTTCTTAAATATATATAATATAATTTAGACATTATTTCAATAAAGGCTCGACTTAATTAAATATAATAAAAAGGCTTGTCCGATCATGATATCAACTAATTATAGCTAAAAAAATTTAATTCTAGAAAAAATATAAAATATGATTTATTGGTCAAGAAAGAGGCAATATTTAAAGCTAGAAAACCAGCACCCCTAGCACTGGTTTTAGTAACAATCAGACTTCTGTTCCATCTTCACCTTCGTCTTCGAAAAGAGGACGCGTAGCTTGTAGTTTCTTCGGTTTTGGTGGCGGTCTAGGAGGGATTTTCTTTACTTTTTCTACAATACAAAATATTAATAATGAGAAAAAACTACTCAAAACATCGACATATTCTTACCTTCTTTCGTTGGTTCATAGCTGCCAATAGAATTCCTCTTTTCAACAGACGGAACTTCGTCTTGCAATTGCGGCGTTGCCAATTTAACAAATCTAGGCAAAGTTTGGCTTGCAATGGGTTTGTTTATCGGTTGTATTTGAGGAAAATCAGTCTTCGACGTTGGCGTCGTTTCATTCAAATAAGATTGTGGCTGGCCACTGGAGCCAGGAGATTCTTGCGATTCCACTATGGGATCGATGATTGTCGTGGGCGTCAAAGGAAATATTCGATTAGTGCGCGGCGTCAGGGTCACTTCGGGAGTTTTGTTTAAGCTTAAAACCGAGCTACCGTCAGCTGTCGAACGCACCCCTAAATTATCATAGACGGGCTCTGCGATTAGTTCGTTGGGTAGAGGCGGTTCTGAGCTCCAGCTTTGCCGAGGTCGTCTGGGGATTGTCACATATCCTGAACCGAGTCTGGGCATTCTGGTCAGAGTTGCACCTTGAGCGAACGGACTGTGCGATCTTGAGTAGGGTAGGGTTTTGTAGATGCTCAGCTGGTCGTAGATTGGACTGTGGATTGGGCTTTGTGGACCTCGAGAGGGAGGCAATCTATAGCAAAAAAAAATAAATGCTTGTTAATGTAACTCTGACTCAATCAAGGTAGGAATATTTACCTGGAATCTATCACAATAGTAGACGCGTTTGATCCTGTAGGAGAAATTTGACTCCGAGCAGGAAAAGCCAGAAGATCGGGTGGAGTCGTGTAATGCCGATACTCCGGCTCCAATAAGGCATTGTGTGATTTTCTCAGGTATGGTTGATCGAAATCAAACGATCTAGAGTCATCGTCACAGTCTGAAAATGATTTTGGAGTCAAAATATATCTCAAGCAAATGATCTGGATCATTTCTTATAATCTCGAGACTGTTGAATGGAATTTACCCAAAACTGAATTTGAAGTTTTCAACTAAAGCGCAGATTTATAGAGAATTTAATGCTTTTTCTAAAAGTGTATAGATTAATAAAGTGTTTTCATTCGGGCTTAATGGCCGTCGTAAGTTGGAATTTCTTCCTAAAGTTTCGCTAGCACGTGTGGCTAGCATCTTCAGAGATGCTTCCATGTTCGATTCTGGTATTTTGTGTCGTGTGAGAGGGGCGGGGACTCGCAGCACGTGGATAATCTGAACTTTCTCTGTACTCAGTGGGATCTTTCTTGTGTTTTTGAGGATCGAGTTCCAAATTTGGTTGAGTTTTAGTGTTTCTTCTTTCCTGTTGAAATTCTTCATATGTTTGTGGATTTCTATAGCTTCACGTACAAGACGATAGTGGTATCCGGAAGTCGGTGCAAGAAGCTTGATCTCACCAAATAGTATTTCGTGATTCCCTCCACTAAGCGCATGTTCCGCTACTGCCGATTTTTCGGTTTGTCCTAGTCTGCAGTTTCTTTTGTGCTCGTTAATCCTGGTTCCCATGGATCTTTTCGTTGTTCCCATGTATACCTTACCACATGTGCATGGTATACGATGGACTCCAGCGCTTGACAGTGGGTTCCTGTTATCCTTGGCTGATCTGATTGATTACTGTATTTTTCTTGTTGGCTTGAAGATCGTTTTTATGTTGTATTTCTTCAAGACTTTCCCTATCCTGTCTGTCACCCGAGAAATGAAAGGCACATATGCATTAGCCACCACTGGTTGTTCATCCACGTTTTGACGTGTGACAGTTTTGGGTCGCATGGCCCTGTCGATTTCAGATGCATTATATCTATTTGATAGAAAGGCCGATTTGAGGTGATCCAGTTCAAATCAAATCAAATCAAAATAAGCTTTATTGTCGAAAAAAATCATTTCATTGACAAAGCGATAATATTTACAATACGTAAAAGAGAAAAAATAAAATAAAATAAACAAAAAAGTTATTACTATATCAATACATTGAGCGCTCAATTTGAGATTGACAAACTACCATTGAGAATACAATCTAATAAAATTATCGTCAAACAATAAAATAATAAAACAATAATAATCACATAGTAAAATCAAGTAAAATCACTAGCACAGTTTAAAACAGGAGGTAAAAAAAAGAAACAAACAAAATACCTACATACATCTATCTATATTCGTCTAAATTGACATTAAAAAATTCGTCTAGGTTATAATAGGCCTTATTAACCAGCATTTCCTTTACACTCCTTTTAAATACATTAAAATCACCAATTGATTTTATATTTATGGGCAACTTGTTGTAAATTTTAATTCCGCGATAAATTACTGAGTTTTGGGTTAGTGTAAATTTGGGAATAGGTAAAGGAATATTTGAACCATGTCTAGTTTCATTTTCATGTAAACTTGTGTTGCCCCAGTATTTTTTAAAAATAATACATGCAGTTTCAATTATAAACAAGGATATAACTGTCAAAATATTTTCTCTTTGAAATAGTGGTTTACAGTGATCTCTTAGCTTTGCTCCACAAATATATCTCACGCATCGTTTTTGTATGGTAAAAACCGACTGAAGCAAAATCTGGCAGCAATTTCCCCAGAATGCGATTCCGTAGCGCAGGTGTGATTCAACTAATGCAAAATATACTTTTCTAGCCATTTGAGAACCTAGTTCAAAATAAGTCTTCCTCACACCATAACCACCCCTAGAGATTTTTCTGTTTAAATTGGCAACATGTTCTGTAAATTTCAGTTGGTCATCAATGAACATTCCAAGAAATTTTATATTTGGTCTTTGTTCAATTCGTTGCCCATCCAGATTAAGACCATCGAAATTCATCTTGAAGCCCAGTACTTTGGTCTTATCAATATTGAGTCACAAATAATTTGCGTCACACCATTTTTTTTACTTTACTTTATATCATCGTTTACAATTTCCTTCAACACATGTTCATCCTTATGATGCCATAAAATTGTTGTATCATCTGCAAATATAGTTGTAAGTCCCCGAATATCTAGAAGACTCAAATCATTTATATACAAGAGAAACAGAATGGCTCCCAGAACAGAGCCCTGCGGAACTCCTATATCGACCTCCATTGTTGAAGAAAATGACGTGCCATTTTTAACTTTTTGATAACGTCTTGTTAAATATGATTTGAAGAAAGATCCTGATATACCTCTAAAACCGTAAATTTCCATTTTCTTCAACAGCAGAATATGATCGACACAGTCGAACGCTTTCGAAAAATCACAAAAGACTGCAGACACAACCTCCTTGTCATTAAGTTTAAGATAAAGACTTTCTAGAGTTGAAAAAACAACATCATTAGTGTTTTTTGATTTTTGGTATGCAAATTGGTTTATGCTTAGAATGTTATAAATTCCATCATTCTTTTCTTTACCAATTTTTCAATAATTTTTGATAATGTACTAAGAAGGGAAATTGGTCTGAAATTAGATGGGTCTGAAAAGGATCCTGACTTATGCAAAGGAATAACCAAGGCAGTCTTTAAGATGTCAGGAAATTCACCATCTACAAAACTTTTGTTTATTGAGTGCGCCAGTGCTTCCAAAGCTTCATCATTCAGATTTTGGAAAATCTTTTTTGACATTTCGTCTATACCTGCAGAGTTCGTTTTAATATCACCCATAACCATTTTTATTTCAGTTTTGTCTGTATTAACCAGTACAAAGGTCTCTCCAACATATGCCCTGAATAAGTTCTCCATTGGATCCCAATCTGATCTGATATTTAATGACAGATTTTTTGCTACTGTGCAGTAAAAAATATTCAAAGCGTCAACGTTTATATCGGCGGTTTGCCCTAACACATTATTCTTACTCCTAAGATCATTTACAATAGCCCAAGCTTCCTTAGACTTATTCTGTGAGTTATCAATTCTGTCCTCATAATATTTTTGTTTAGCTCTCCTAATGGTACTCTTGTATATTCTACGGTATGTCCTGAAATAGTTAACGAAAAAATCATTGTTTGTGAATTTTCGAATTACGCACAAGGATCTAAAGTTTTGTGAGGAAATCTTAATGTCCCGAGTTATCCAGTTTTTTTCTTTTTTCTGTGTCTCATCCTGCGCAACGGAAAGCTCTCCAGAAAAATCTTCTGTACAACTAAGTGAAAGGCGTCGATAGGCCTGTCTGAGTCGAGCACCAATTCCCAATTTATCACACTAACCTTTTCCCTAAAATTTCTAAAGTTTTCACCTGAAAAAATGCGCTTACATTGTGCAGGTTCCCTTTTAGATAGTTTTTGTATGGGAAAGCTGGAAAATAATGCCTCATGGTCAGAAAGATTGTTAGGAAGGGCCTCACACTTTACATTGTCATGACTAAAGTTGGTACAAAAGTAATCTATAGTAGTGGCAGTTCGATCTGTTATTCTAGTTGGAGAGTTAACAAAAATTTTTAAGTCATAAGAAAGCATTAGATTCCTAAAAGCTACTGTACCAGCCAAATTATCACTATTGTAATCCAAATTAAAATCACCGGTACAAACAATTTTACTATTTGGTGGTAGGTCCAATAAAATGGTTTCTAAACTCATTAGAAAACCAGTTGAATTTGTAACAGGAGGACGATAAACACAGAGAATATAGATATTATTTTTCTTATTATATGCCAATGAGAATTCAAAAATGCTTTCTGTATATAAATGGTTGTATTTATTTATGTTTTCTAGCGTAAAATATGAAGCAGAATCCCTGTTTACCAATATACTTGTACCACCATAACCTATGTTTGTCGATCTACAGCTATTTGAAATAACATGATATTCAGGAATGCCGAAAGGTTCCTCGGGTTCCAACCAATGCTCTGTCAATACTATTAGTTCTGGGTAGTTCAATTCATCAAGAAATATACAAAGTTCGTCAATTTTATATCTAACAGAGCGTATATTTAAGGTTAAAGCTCTGATGCTGTGAGTTATTTGAGTTATTTCTAAAAAAGATTTATTACTAGTAACATGCAATATTTGATCAGAGCTTTCCCTAACACCGGCCTCAGACTGAAGAGAACTCTCCTTGTCAGTACTGTGGCATTTAACACTAATTTCTAAAACAGGCTGAGCCCCTGTACTTGTTACTGCCTTATCCTGCTTTAAGCCCTTATTCATGAAAGGGTGGTATATATGTATCCTTCCATAAATAACATTCACAATACAATTAACAATCTTTTTTTTTTCCAAGTAGTTTATTCTACCCACTGGGTTAAAAAATAAATGAGAGACAATGGAATTAATATTTAAGTAAGTTACATTCTTAACATTAACATTTGTTAAAACTACCTTGTTGTATATTTCAATATTAATTCTGTCTATGAAAATTATTATTTCCTGTCTTCGGAATTGATAGCAATATTACATTGGTAAATTTCGATACATTCACAATAGCATCCATAGCCCTAACATTAATTAACTCCTGGGATGCATTGATTGCATTTATAAATCCACCCTTCACGATAACATAGTCATTCAATGTAAATCCCTTTGCTAGAGATTCTATGTTCGAGGTTATGTCTTCAAACAAGGCATTTGTCTCAAGGACAGTTGTGACATTTTTCACCTTCACCGTTTTATGAATTATTCCATCAAAACCTCTAACACACTCATCACCTAGAATTAAGATCCTCCCTTTAAATGTTTCTGGGTATGGTGTGCCTTCCTTTGGTACACCGACCCGCATACTTGTGTCTCGTTTGGGGTTGTGAATATTCCTGCCTTCCCCATGCAAATTTCCCTTTGATGACCCTACATTATTGAATTTAACTAGTCCTTTTAATTCGTTGATCTCCTTTTCGAATAACTCTTTTGCAACCTCCAGTGTTCTAATTGACGAGATCATGTTTTCATTAATATTTTTAAAATCAGCCAGTTCATCATTCAAGCACTGTATATTTTGCTTTGGTCTCATTCAGTTCTATGATTTGCTTGTTATATAATTTGTTTTCAGCTTCCAGCGCTTTTATTGTTGTAATCATGTTGTCTTTAAAATTTTCTAGTTTTTTATTTAGGTCTTTCAAATTGTTGTCAGCTTTATTCAGTTCAGCTGATTTAATAATTATTACTTCCTTGAGTGAATTTTTTTCTTCCTGGAGTAAGACTAATTTTGATCTATATTCGTTTTGCGTATTAACCATATTTTGTTCTGTGTCAAGGACTTCTTTCTCAAAAGACATTGAAGCTCTTTTGAGTCTTGCAATGTAATCATCTTTATCCTTTATTTCTGCCTGAAGTTGTAGATTCCTGTTACTTAAAATAGTTAGTTCTTCCTTCCATTCGTCTTTAGATTGTTCAAATACTTCCTGCCCTTTGATAATTTCTTGCCTAAGTTCATCCATCTTTACTGAATAAATATCACTTAGTTTTTGGTTATTGCTATCCTTCCCAAAACACTCAGATGAGCAAAGTACTCTGTGGTCCCCAACATGCCTGTATTTCCTTCTGTCCATGCAGCTATAATGAAATAAGTATTCCAAAGCACACAATGCAGACACAGTTTTGAAGGTCCTTGCCTTTGCAGCAGGTAAATTTATTCGTTCCCGCCTTTGATGACATTTTAGGGCTTTATGATACCCTTCGGCAACACTGATTATTTTCTTGAAAGAAAGCAAAAGCAAACCTTGATTTGTGATTAATATTTTTTTTTTTTATATATATTTGCACAGAACCACAGGTAATGGAATCTATTTAGCAAAAAGTTTATGCTGATAAGGAGCAGACTAATTTTATCAGTTCATTTCAGGATGTTTTTTATAGAAATGTTTATGTTAAAATATTGATGATACCTGATAAGCACAGAACTTTATCGCATAATTACCATTGTTCGATAGTTTTTTAGCTAATATTCTCTTGCAGCTGGACACACAAAAGCACAAATTGGATCATTTAGTTCCCACAACAATTGCCTATGTATAGGTATAAAATTCGGCTTTCATTTTTGGGATAAAACTACTTTAATTTCAATAAAACCGAGAGCACAGACGAACACACCTGCACGAAATGTTATCTTTTTGCATGTGTTTTGCAGTTCTTGCTCGAGATGTTGTGACTCGCAGATGTTCCGAACACGTTCTGTTAACGTTGTTATAATTCCACATTTCTGTCTTGGATGGTGATGTAAGAGTGCATGCAGGTACCTGTCTGTGTGTGTGTGGGTTTTTGGTACACTGAGTGGCTTAGTTTCGCTCCAGATTTCCTTATAAGTACATCTAAGAAGGCGACTGCTTGGTTTTTCTCCTTTTCCATAGTAAATTGTATTCTAGGATGTTGCGCGATCAGGTGGCCTAGAAACTGGGGGAGAGAAGGTTAACCAGTTTCTAGGCCACCTGAACGTGCAACATCCTAGCAAACAATTTACCATGGAAAAGGAAAAAAACCAAGAAATCGCCTTCTTAGATGTACTCATAGGGAAATCAGGAGGAATACTAAGCCACACAGTGTACCGAAAACCCACACACACAGACAGGTACCTGAATGCACTCTCAAACCACCATCCAAGGCAGAAACGTGGAATTATAACAACGTTAACAGAACGTGCTCGGAACATCTGAGAATCACAACATCTCGAGCAAGAACTGGATCACCTCAAATCGGCCTTTCTATCAAATGGATATGATGCATCTGAAATCGACAGGGCCATGCGACCCAAAATTGCCACACGACAAAACGTGGATGAACAACCAGTGGTGGCTAATGCATATCTGCCTTTCATTTCTTGGGTGACAGACAGGATAGGGAAAGTCTTGAAGAAACACGACATAAAAATGATCTTCAAGCCAACAAGAAAAACAAGATCAGCCAAGGATAAGAGGAATCCGCTGTCAAGCGCTGGAGTCTATCGTATACCATGCACATGTGATAAGGTATACAGAGGAACAACAAAAAGATCCATGGGAACCAGAATCAACGAGCACAAAAGAAACTGCAGACTAGGACAATCCGAAAATTCGGCAGTAGCGGAACATGCGCTTTGTGGAGGGAATCACGAAATACTATTTGGTGAGGTCAAGGTTCTTGCACCGACTTCCGGATACCATAATCGTCTTGTACGTGAAGCTATAGAAATCCACAAACATACGGGGAATTTCAACAGGAAAAAAAACACTAAAACTCAACCAAATCTAGAACCTGATCCTCAAAAACGCAAAAAAGATCCCATTGAGTACAGAGAAAGTTCAGATTAGCCACGTGCTGCGAAGCCCCGCCCCTTCCCCACCACACATAAATACAACTTACGGTCGGGAACGCGTCAGTCTGCTACCAAAATCGGACATAGCAGCACCTCTGAAGATGCTAGTCACGCGTGCTAGTGAAACGTCAGGAAGAAATTCTAACTTACGCCGACCATTAAGCCCGAATGAAAACACTTTATCAATAAACTTGGGCCACTAAACCAAATTTTAATGGAAATATTGGCAATTTTTCTTAACCTTGTCATTCGAAATAGCATTTTGGTGAGCAAGAAATTATTGCGTAACTTTGTCCTATAATTTAACCCACCCTGTATCTCTTATAATTACAGAGATTCCTATACTAACTCGCGAATTTGTAACACCCTGTATATCGTGACGTAATACATAAATCTGACAACAACTAGAATTCTTACCAATCATAGATTCATAATCCAAAAGATTCTTCTTGGCATCACTAACTTCAGTACCTCCGCTAACAATCGAAGAAGGTACAGTCACTCTGGGAGGTTTACTAACAGGATTAACGTCCGTCATCAGTCCTTTTTTCAATTCGATATTCGTACTCATATTGATACATTCTTCAGATGAGCTTCTGAAATCGCCGTGCTTTGAGCCGAAAAATTTCCCGGTTTTCTTGCAGTAGATGCACAACAAAATTAGAATTATCAATAAAATTATTATAAGAGTAATTGAGAGTCCTATTATTAGGATTAAAGAGCCTCCTATTTTCGTATTTAAGTCGCCCGTGTATCTGTTGCCCTCGATTATGAGCGAAATATTTTTTTCGTCTTGTCCTCCTACATTGGTGGCTATACATTTATACTCTCCTTGATCAGAATACCTCAAACTAGTAATTGTCACATTATTCCAAGTATAATTACCAATTTTTCCTTTTACAACAAAATATTTGGTATTTTTCATTCGCTTTTCCAAATTGAAACCCTTATTCAGCCAAATCACTTCTGGATCAGGCTCTGCAAACACTTTACAAGTCAGTGTTACATTTTTGTCATCAGTCAAAATAATTGGCGTAGATGGATTTATAATTGTAGGAGCACAAGCGAATATTACGCTTCTATCAGTCCATACGTTTTTCAAGTTTTTCAGTTGTGCAGGCTCTTCGCATTTTGTATATTGAGTTATCAGATTATTGCGAAGAACTGATTGATGGAATGTTTCTAAAAGGCAGTCACAAACCCAAGGGTTTTCCTCTACATTTAAACTATTCAATTTTGGAAGTTTTTGCTTCAAATCAAATTCAATGCGCTTTAATTTGTTATAACCTAAATTAACATCAGATAACACTATAAGATTTTGAAAAGTGTTTTCGTTTATATACTCAATTTCGTTGTGATCTAAATAGATTTTTTGTATCCTTGTCATGTTACTTAATAAGCCGTCTTCTATAGACTTTAGTCTGTTGTGGCTCAAATAAAGGAACCTCAATTGTACAGTGTCCCTAAAGGTGTCCCGTTTAAGTTCAGCAATAGAATTTCTAGACAAATCTATTTCAGCAACAACGCCCAACTCTTGGAAAGCACTTTCGCTCACCACCTCAATCAGGCAATTTTGAAATTTCAATTTATGTACGTTTGCCATATTGGCACCCTTGAACACTCCATCTCCGAGCGACCGTAATGGATTGTTGAAAAAGTTTATGTCCTTAATATCTGTGTCCAAGTTTTCTGGTATTTGGGTGAAACCCCGGTTTGAACAGTTGGCACTTTTGACGCCGCTGACGTGTATACACGAACACTGGTTGCAGTGACTTGCCCAGTCGTCATTTGATGATGTTTGGCTGATGATGAGGCAAAGTGTGATGGTGATTATTGAGAGTTTGAAGTTCATGATCTGAAATTGAAAAAAAAATAATGGTTTTAATGATTTACTATAGTAGAAGTTTTGATAGAAAATAAAAAAAGAATAAGGTAAGAACTTCGGTCGTTTCAGCTGAAGTGGTGGTGTATATACCATCCTCTTTTTTCAGCAGACCTAGCGGTTTAGAGTCTTTGGAAAGCACCTTCTTCAGCCGGGCTGCAGCTGTAGTGTTTTGTATAAATGTCTCCAACTTTTTCTCTGTGATCCGCGAATTTCCTCTTTATACCGCGCTTGGTGTGCTTTATACGCATCCCAGTCAGTCGCCCTTTTGGTATTTTTCGCTCTATTAAAAAGCCTTTTGCTTTCTCTCTTGAGTTGCTCAAGTCTTAAACTCCACCAAGGAGTTGCTCTACTTGAGCGTATTGTTTTCAGCGGACATCCCGCCTCATAGGCTTTAACTGTTATGTAAGGGGGTTTGAGATCATTGGTTCGTGATTATTAAAAGGATCCCGCAATATTTAAATGGAAATTGGCGAGGGGTGGTTAACTGGTCAAAATCCGTGTACAAGTTGGTCGAAATCCCAGAAAATCTCATAACATCTACTCAAAATCCCTAAAAATCTTTTAAATCCTTAAAAATTTAACAAAATCCCACAATATCTCTGGAAATTGCATAAAATCCTACAAAATCTAACAAAATTTCATCAAAACCAAAAAAATCCTGCAAAATCTCATAAAATCATTAACATTCCTGAAAAATATTTCCTTTGAAATCCCCAAAAATCCTTTGGAATCCTCAAAAATCTGTTAAAGTCTCTCAGAACTCCATAATTTAGTGGAATTTCGATAGAATAATTATATTATTCTGAAAAAGGAATTACATGTGAAATTTTTGCGGAGTTTCCATAGAATTCACATTAAATTTTAGTTCCTCTCGAATTACATGAAATTTCAGTAATTGAATTACACGAAATCCTAAATAAATTGAATGGAGGAATTTTAAACAATTAGGTATATGAAATTACACCGAAATTCAACAACAACAACAACAAACATGGAATTTTGGTGATATTCCGAAATTACTTGAAGTTTCATTAATATTCCCAGAAAAAGAGAATTTCAGTGAAATTCTAAAAAATTCTTATGAAAATAAATGAAATTATCAAACATTCCTTGAAATTTCATTAGACTTTCGAGAATTCTTCGGCTATGAACGTGGAATTTCAAAATATTTTCATGAAATTTTAGTGAATTCTGAGGAATTTTTAAGAAATTACACGAAATTGATGAAAATTTTGTGGAATTTCAGGATATTTGAGTGATGAAATTTTGGTAAATTTCAGTAAAGTTGAAAAAAAAAATATGGAATTTTTATGGAATTTTGAAATTGAAATTTTAGTGAAATTCCAAAGATTTTCATGAAATCTTGTAATGTAATTCCGAAGAAAAGAAAATTCCAAGAATCCCATTGAATTTTATGGTGTGAAATGTGATATGTGAAATTTTTGCGGAGTTTCCATAGAATTCACATTAAATTTTAGTTCCTCTCGAATTACATAAAATTTCGAGAAATTACATGAAATTTCAGTTGAATTTCGGTCGAATCACATGAAATCCTGAATGAGTTGCATAGAGGAATTCTAAACAATTACATTGAATTACACCAAAATTCCCAACATGAAATTTCAGTGCTCGTTAAATTACATAAAGAATTTTAACAAACTTTCAAAAAATTACATTATTGCCGAGGAATTTTCGTCGAATTAAATGGAGTTCCGATGCAGTTGCATGGAATTCCAAGGAATTGTCAGGGAATTACATGAAATTTAAGTGGAATGTTGAACAACTCTTATCGTTTCATAAGGAATTTCAGTGAAATTCCGAAAAATCCTAATGTAATTAGTAATTACATGAAGTTTTATTTTTATTCCAAGGAATTCCCAGTTAAAAACATGGCATTTTAGTGAAATTGAAATTCCGAAAAATTCCCATCGAATTACTGAATTTTAGTAAAGTTAGAGAAAATTTCACAAGTGGAATTCCGAGGAATTTCCGGCTAAAAACTAAAACTTAAAATTTTGGTTGAAATTTGGAAAAATTCCCATGTAATGATATGAAATTTCAATAAATTTCGGAGGAATTTCGGTGAATTTTCAAGAAATTACTTGAAGTTCCATTACTATTCCCAGAAATTCTTGACTATTGAAAGAAAATTTCAGTGAAATTTCAAAAAATTCTCATAAAATTTTAGTGAAATTCCGAGGAATTTCCAAGAAATTACAGGAAATGTCAGTGAAATTCCGAAATATTTTATTAAAATTGGAATTAAACAGAATTTCCGTGGAATTTCCATGGAACCACGAAAAATTTCGGCGGAATTTCGAAGAATTGAATTAAGTTTTAGTGAAATACTGAGTACCTAATTTCTGTCGAATTACATAAAATTTTAGTATAATTCCGAGAAATCTTTCACCTTAATTCCGAGTGTAATTCTGAGGAATTTTTGTACAAGAATTCCATTGAATTTTATGATGGAATTCCATGGAATCTTATCGTGAAATTTTTTAAAGTATTATGAAATCTTATGGTAAAATTTCTAGGACTTTCTGTTTTTCTATTCAAATTTGTCATTTGAATGGAATTTCGAGGAATTCCATAAAATCTTCTAGTGATATTCTGAGGAATTTCTATGGAATTACCAAAAATTTTCGCAGAATTCCCATGGAATAACTTGAAATTTTAGTGGAATGCCGAAGAATTTAATGAAATCTCATAAGTAGTTAATCCTGAGGAATTTTTGTCCAAGAATTCCATTGAATTTGATGGTGTAATTCCATAGAATCATATGATGAAATTCGGAAAAGCTTTATGGAATCCTATAGTAAAATGTCTAGGAATTTCCGTTTTTCCTTTCAAATTTGTCATTTGAATTTAGAATTTCTAAAAACTTTTCAAGAACCCCTAAAATGCTCCAGAATCACCTAAAATTTTGAAAATCTAAAATCTTCAGAACAAAATTTCCAAAATCCCACAAAATCAATTAAGATTCAAAATGTGTTCATTATTTTATAGAGTTAACTAAACCTCGGAGCGGTTGATTGGTCAAAGTGTACAAGTCCAGAAAAACTTGTGAGATATATTTAAAATCCCTGAAAATCTTTTAAAACTTAACAAAACCCCACAAAATCCCTTAAAAATCACCTGAAATCGCATAAAATTTTACAAAATCACACAAAATTTTATAAGAACAAAAAAAATCTGGCAAAATCTTATAAAATCATTAATATGTAGGTATTTCTAAAAAAAAATTCCTTCAAAATTTCCAAAAATCCTTTGGAATCCTCAAAAATCCGTTAAAATTTCTAAAAAATCTTTAGGATCTCTAATGGCCGTTTCCGCCAACTATTTTAGGGGAGCTTCAAAAATAAGTATTCCTTAAAATGACAGTCTTCTATGGAGAAATGTAAGTTTAAAAAATACTTATCGTTGAGGTTCCCCTAAATAAGTTGGTAAAAATGCCATAAAAAACCCTTTGTAAATTTCCTAAAATGATTCAAAATCACCTAAAATCTCATAAATCTAAAATCTTTTAAAATCCTGTAAAATCACGTGAAGTTTTTCAAAATACTCAAAATCCTACAAAATCAATAAAGATTCAATTATGTACACATTCTATAGAGTTAACTAAACTTCGAGCGGTTAATTGATGAAAATTTGTATACAAGTTGGTCAAAATCCCAGAAAAACTCGTAAGATCTATTTAAAATCCCTGAAAATCTTTAAAATCTTTAAAAATCTAACAAAATTTTATTAGAACAAAAAAAAAATCCGGCAAAATCCTATAAAATTCCTTTAACATTTCCAAAAATCCTTTGGGATCCCCAAAAATCTGTTAAAATCTCTAAAAATTCTTTTAGGATCTCTAAAAACCTTTCTAACTTCCCTAAAATGAATGCTCCAAAATCACCTAAAATCCTGTAAAATCCTATGAAGATTTTCAAAATCCTCAAAATCCCACAAAATCCATGAAGATTTAAAATCTGTGTACATATTTTACGCAGTTAACTACCCCGCGGGAATTGGTTACCTGTGATATTTGGATACTGTATTGGGGATGCCGTAAGCAATATTTTTTACCATGGGCACAACCCTGTATATATGACAGGTGAGGCGTGGTTAACTGTCAAATATTGGAATCTTATATCTAAAAGCAGAGTAACTATGGCAGATTTTGATGAACAAAAAATCTATCAGTCGACCAAGTTAAGTCGAAAAATGTCAACCATTTTGACACCTGCCAAAACCCTGTCAAACGGCGGCACTCATCTTTTCCAGTTTTCAATATTTCATGATGTCATTTGACACTTTTAACTTGTATGTAAATTCTGAATTCAAAAATTGAAAAAAAAAATGACAGAACTGTCAAAACCTGTCATTTGTTTTAGTGGAAAAAAATACTCTAATCTGATTCTTTTTTGTTTCAAGGTAGTTTATTGGTGATAAAACATTAAACAAAATTCATGCATGTCACATTTTGACATTGACAACTGTCAGACTCTGTTTTTGCTTTTTGGTTCATATTGAGTTTGTTTGCTTAGTGAAGTTCTACAACTACAATGATAGAATAATACAATAATACAATAGAACTAAACCTTCACTAAGCAAACAAACTCAATATGAACCAAAAATCTATTAGATGTCAAAATGTGACATGCATGAACTTTGTTTAATGTTTTATCACCGCTAAACTATCGGGTCTTCAAAAAAAAAAACAATCAAAGATTGCTATGGTTTTTTAAACGTATGTCTTAGCAATATTTTTCTTTAATTTTGTCAATGAACTTTAATGTCAAAATGTCATGTCAAAAATCCTGACCAATAAAGAAACAGGAATGCGACGTACGTTTTCGTAATCAAAGCAATCTTCGATTGGTTTTTTTTTTGAAGACCCGATACCTTGAAACAAAAAAGAACCAGATTAAAGTATTTTTTCTACTAAAACAAATGACAGGTTTTGACTATTCTGTCATTTTTTTTCAATTTTTGAATTCAGAATTCACATACAAGTTAAAAATGTCAAATGGCATCATAAAATATTGAAAACGGGAAAAGATGAGTGCTGCCGTTTGGCAGGGATGGTTGACATTTTTCGATTTACCTTGGTCGACTTAGTAGACATCGATACTTCGTTCATCAAAATCTGCCATAGTCACTCTTCTTTTGGATATGAGATTCCAATATTTGACAGCTAACCACGTCTCACCTGTCATATATACAGGGTTGTGCCCATGGTAAAAAATGTTGCTTACGGCATCCCCAATAACATATTTAAATTTCATCCAAATATCACGGGTAACCAATTTCCATTTAAATATTGCGGGGTCCTTTAAAGTTTTATAAATCCCGTCACAGACAATCCCCTTCATGGTGTTTTTAAGGTTGACATGCTTCAAAAAACCATTACATTTCCTGCCAAAACTTATCAAATTAAAATCCAAAATTCAATATTATTATTATTACCAAGAATCAAAATGGTCATACTCGATCTAGAATCTCTAGACGAACTAGATTCTAGACTAGATAAAGCAGGCGACAAATTGATAATACTGGAGTTCTACGCGCCCTGGTGTGGAGCATGTAAAATGATCGAGAACAAAGTCAAAGAAATCGCCCTCGAATTCCCGGACATTTTAATTTTGAAAATCGACGTTGAGGAACATGAAGATATAGCTCAAGACTACGACGTAGCCGGTATGCCTACTTTCGTCTTCATTAAAAACAAGGTGATCGTGAATCAGTTTTCGGGTACCAAGCACGAGAAACTCAGAGAGGATATTGAAAAGTATAAATAAATGAATTTATTTAACTAATGGAATTTTTAATTTGTCCAGTTTCCCGGAGGATATAAAAGTTAATCAATTCTTGGCCAAGAAGTAATACGTTTTTGTAATCTCACGGGAAAATGTGTTTTAATAACGAAAAGTAACGAACTTTCTGTCTGCAGGGACTCGTCCCTATCTAATCTTTTTATCGAGAGGGCAATATTTTGTAAACACCACGAGTAAATCCTCAGTTGGCAAATATTGGGTCACACTATCTGTGTTTATGCTGATGAATAATTTATGTGAGGTTCACAGGATGTGATTTTTGTACTAACGTTTCTACAACGCTAATGGGTAATTGATGTTTTATCCTCCTAGGCCAGAATAATTTGTTGGGTATAATTATCATCTTTTGCTTTTTTTGCTGTTATAATGGAAATATACTTACAATAAAAGCAATTAGGTTTTATTCAACGAGCAAACAGGAGTTATTAATTACTTTTCAATTATTTGAAAAATGCGTGTATTATTCACTAAAATCGGTCTCTGTGTCCAGGGAATCAAGTCAGAAAATTAGATAGGAAGTATGTATTAAGATACAACTTTTGGTAAATGAATGAAAGTTTTCTAAAAACTTAACTTAGAAGTTAAGTTGAGATTTTAGCTTGAGACGGTCAGAGATTCGTTAAGAAATTCAGCAAATCAAAGAGGAAGTTAGAAAATTAAGAAGGAATTATATAAGCAACTACAACTTTTAAAATATGATTTTCCAAATTTCCTGGAAACTCACCTTGAAAGACTTTTCCTGAAAATTCTATGAAATTTCAAGTTTTTCCATGTTCAGAGTGTTCAGATTTTTGCTTAAGAAGCCTCATCATCTACATAATTAAAAATGATTTGACAAAAGCTGTAGATGGTGATTCATTTCTCAAAATAAATGGATGATTAATCTAATCACAGGAATAGATGAAATAATTTTCCCTTCATAGCCCTCAGAGAAATACTCAAAGTTAAAATCTAAATTATATCAATAATATTTCAAGATAAAAAAATGAATGTACTAATCCTATGTCTAAGAACAATACACCTAACGCATGTTCATTAATCATTAAAAAAAAATCTCATGGTCAATTACAAGTGGGTGTTACCTATCGAGGAACCTATATTGATACAGTACGTGCTCGATAAGGTAAATACAAAAACCCAACCTTGTATCAAAGTATATTGGGTCGCCCTTTAGTTATAGTATAAGCTAGTGATACTTTTCAGTAATCAAAAGACAAATTTAATAAGTTATTAATAAATTACACAGCGGATAATTCCAATTAAAACTTTCTTAATTGCATCGAATATGAACAAACAAGAAAAATTTAAGAACAATTAACTATACACGAGAATATAAAATTACTTAAAATAAAATTTCACTTTCCTATATTGAAGGAAAGTTATTTGTTATTTTTAGACAAAATTGGTGTTGATGAACCATTGTAAATAAATATACAAAATACACAGAAAAAATTCCATTTCTATTTCAAGATAAATTAATTAAGGAAACAATTTCTACTCTAGAGTATGTAATATACTGATAATCTTGTTTTCTCAGCTTGATATCTACTGTCATAACTTGATTCATTTCACCCCAGCATGACACTATTCAGATGCAAAAATTCCAATCCCATGCAGCTGCCAAATTTTATTACATTTCTGCACAATATAGAGGGGCAAAGACAATAAAAATTCCAAAGCATGATCTACAGCTTTTCATTTTTTTTTTTTCTCAAATAAAAATACCTATTTGGAATTATCAGGGTCTCGATTAGAACAATAGAAACCATCATTATGAATCAAATAGTTTTATCATAGTCAATTGCACTTTAATCACGATGACGGGAGGATTTAACCTTTTCAGAGTTCAACTTAATTTAATTGTGTCGAATAAAATTGCTGCAAATATGTTTTGGATTAATTGTTGTTGATTTTAGATTTGAGAGTCTTAAATTAAGGGAACAAGAAGTAACATCAACATGAATTGTTTTTCTTTTTTCAATAATTGTAAATAAGGCTTATGATAAGATGATTTTGGTTGTGAGCCAGATCATCATTATTAGAGGTACAAGCAATGTAGAATTAATTAAAATTAAAAAAAAAAAAAATCTTCATACTTACTTTTTCCTATTTATTTTCCTTAAGGAAAAAGCTGCAAAATAGCAAGAGAAGTTCCAAGTTTCTCATTTTTCTTTTGTGGAAAGCAAAGTAAAACAGTGGGAGAAATTAAAGTATGAAAGAGTGAAATTTTTTTTGTCTATTCCAGGTTCTTGAAGTTTTATTTTTTTCGAGATTTTTTTATTCTTTTCAGATTTTTAATATAAATGTAATACCGTGTAATACTTGATGATTAATGAATGGGTGACTTAGAAAAAGGGAATTCTTATTACTGTTTTTGCTCTATAAAGTTTTTCAGGTACTGAGGCAGTTTTCTCTACACCAAATTTTTTTCGCTGGATGACTTTGGATTGTAGATAAATTAGAATTTTAAACAAATTTGGTTGGAGGAATTACAATGTCATTATATATACCTAAAACTTGGGTCTGGATAATTTGGTGGAAACAGCTCTACCAGCAATCTACCAACATAATTAATAGGAAAAAAATAATAACTCTGGATTTTTAATTATGAAAACAATACATATTCTAGAATAGTAGTTTTTATGTTTTTCCTTGGATTTTTCGTTAGTAAAATTAAAATGTTTTTCTTCTTTCAGCTTTTAGTAATTCCAGGATTTATGTTACTTTCAAGCTGTTTTATCGGTAGCAGTTTGGATGCAATAGGTTACTTTCAAGTACCGGGAATATGACAAATTATGATATTTTCAAAGCAGATATTATACAGAGAATGAATAATCTATGTAAGATTTTAGTCATATTAATAAATAAAAATGGGAAATTTGAAAAGTTACGTGACTGAAAACGCCCTTTCATTGGCTAAAGCCGATATTCATACGCTTTGTTGCTATGATATACACGGTGGGCCAATGGAAACTGTCCACCTTGATTTTTTGGATTTCAAATGAAAATCTGGCAAAACCCTGGGACACGTCGATTTTTGATTGTAGAGGGCACTATTTCTCAGTTTTTTCATTCCCATAACTTTACCCCCTAGCTGAGGGGAGAAAAACCCCCCAAATTTGAATAGGGGATGGGGGTCGTATCATTCTTTTTTTCAAAGGTCTCATCGAGTTCTTTAAGACCCTAGATTTTTATTAAGGGTTGGTTTCTCAATAGCAAGTCACCGCCGGGCTATAAAATAACTCCAGGGTAAACATTGCAACTGGACAGGTTCAACCTGGAGTTAAAACTAACCCGGAGGTGACTTGCTATTGAGAAACCGACCCTAAAACAATAGTCTATTTCCAAGATTTTGACAAGCTGTCATTTCGTTACGGATAAAAATAATAAAACAAAATTCTAGAGTCATAAATAATATAACTCGATGAAGCTTTAAAAATAGGTATGGCACGAACCCTATCCCCTATTCAAATTGGGGGGTTGTTCACCCCCCAGCTAGAGGGTTGAAGCTACGGGGATGAAAAAAACTGAAAAATAGTTCCCCCTCAAATCAAAAATTGACGTAGGTATCCGAGCGTATTTCCAGATTTTTATTTCAAATTCGAAAAATCGGGGTGAAAAGTTTCCATTGGCCCACCCTGTATAGCAATATTGTAAAAGCTTCATAACTTTTTTGTTTATGAAAATAATTTCCGTAAAAATAGAAACTTCCTGGAAGCATTTTTTTAAGCAGAATCCAGTGACGATATTATAAGGAAAAAAACTCCCGAAAACATGTGTCCGGAAACGTGTAATTTCTGAGATACAGGGTTGTTGATATGCATTTATTTTTTTTAAAAGTATCACTCAGTACGCCACTGCTTTTTAAACCCTTTGGTATTTTCATAAAATTAGACAATGAAAAATACACATTTTTTATCGATTTTTTTTTTGTATCTAATCTAGCCTGGTTTTCTCGAAAAAAATATATAAATCCATTTTCTTGCATGTCACTGGGATAAATATCAACCAAGGGGTTATTCACTAAGGGAAAAATGTGACAAGATTTCGGATTTGGAGCGATTTTGAGGGATTTCGGGTGATTTTGAAGGATTTCGGTTGAATTTCGGAAAGACTTCGAGGGATTATTCACTGTGACAAGATTTCGGATTTAGAGCGATTTTGAGGGATTTCGGTTGATTTCGAAGGATTTTGGGTGATTTCGAAGGATTTCGGAGAATCTCAGGTGATTTCACAAATATTTTAATTTGATTTTAGAGTTACTTATCTTATAAGTATATTCGAAAGTGTATTGGTATAAACTGAAAAACGGCTGCGTTGACCGATTTATGAATTTTGGGCCAATTGCGAGAGATTTTTGGGTCTGCGAAAAGATTTCCGATAGATTTCGGAGGGACTTCGGCAGATTTTGGAGTGATTTCGGAGATTTTGGTAGGATTTCGGAAAAGATTTCAGGGGGTTTGGCAGGAATTCAAATTACGCAACTTTACCTTAATTCTAATTCAATCAATCCTGTATCTCTCGTCGTTTCCGGTTTCCGGGATCCCAAGGATGTGGCTCAAATTTAAAACACCCTGTATATTTAACGGATATCTTTGTCTTTGTCTTATTGTTAATAAAAGACAAGGATACATAGACGAGTTCCGATTCCACTAGTCCTCATGAGCTAAAGATAGATATATTTTTGTTGAATTATAGTAGAGTTCGGTTAAGCCTTCTAGAGCGAAAAAATGACAACCAAATGTGATCAGTTTTGTAACTTCAAATGAAAGATCACGTGAGCTTCTGTCAACAATGTCATCTTTTAGTTCGCGGAGGATTTACCGAACTTGCCTTATACAGGTTGTCCCCGTTCAACTGGTCAAAAAATGCTACGGTATATGTTATATAAAGGAACAAAAGAGAAGTACATAGTTTGAGACAGGACACTGATGGTCGGAAGTGCGTCGTTTCCAAAATACAGG